TTATTATAATTTGGAATAGCTGTTTTCAAGACATTATTCGCTCTCTCGTGCCGTGTTAATATGTGTATGTGTTAAATTGCCAAGTAGTTTCCCATTACTATCAGTTACCCAGAGGCAGCTTTTGAGCCAGTTGCTAAGAGCTTTTATCCAACAGTGTTGATTGTTAATACTGATCTGCACATTTTCCCAACYAAAGCTCTTATAAAGAGCTAAGACCATAAGACTGTGTTTGCGAGTTTAGTGACTATGCCAACAAGGCAACAAGGAGCTGGAAAGAATCGGAGACTGAGCACGCAGCCRTTTCGGAAAGCTAAAAACAGCTGTGTTTTTACAACCACTGAAACACAACTCTAGAAAGGACCATTTTTTTYCCATTGGCTACCCATACTGCACCTGCCATTTCCATCACAGCCATGTGGTCACAAAGGGAGCAGTATATCTGTCAACAGGATCAAGTCCTCAATAGACCCCGCAAGCCACTCAATCCTTCAAGACACCCCCTCTACTGGCCCCAACAAAGCCTCAAAAACCCTCAACCTGGCCATCTTAGCTTCATTCAGTCAGGTTACCCCATTTTCTTTAAGGACGATACTTCCTTGTCTAAACAAACGAGAGGAGAACAGTGACACATTTTTTCTCCTTTTCTTTYTTGTTGTTTTTACATATCACTGCAGTTTTATTGTTTTATTGTGAAAAGACCACTAAACACACTCACTGATAAGTAAAGTCGTGTTTGTGCAGACCGGTCTGGCTTGGTTCACAGATAATGTCAAGCATAATTTAAGCTTTCTTGATAACAATATTTCCAAGTGTCTGAAGCACAAACATAMAAGCAGCTAAAATCACAGTCGCCTTGTAAAGAAACTTGTCAGTGATGTTTAGCGAGCTTGTGAGCGTTATATTGTATGATTTTTTTTTTTTGAGTAATATACTTCCGTCTAACTTGTCAGTATGCGGTAACCAGCATCCAAAACAGAAACCCAAAAGAAGTTGACGGAAACTGAGAAAGCAGGTCGGCCCGCTGGGGATTAAGGAGGGAGGTCACAGTGGATCAGCCAGGTCTTCCTCTCCCACAGAGGAGAGAAAACAAATATTAATCACCTCTAGCACTTCACACAAAGGGCCCCAAGACACAAGGGCAGGAGAGCTAGTTGAGAAGAAGACACAGACCTCAACATCTAATGAAAAGCTCTCTTAGGGGCTTTGCCACTGTGGGCTGGTGATCCCAATTCACCTCTCTGTGTGAGTGTGTGTGTTTTTAGCATTTGAATGCAAACTCGGCCGCTCTTCCTACTTAATAAATGTCATCAAGTCTTCATTTTTGAAGTAAGTGCTTCACAGAGAAGAAAAGAATGATCAAGAAAAGGAAAGAAAGAAAAGTGATTGACGGGAACTGGCCCGAGTGTTTGTTTGCTCTGTTCCTTCTTGGCAAAGGCGCTCGTCTAACTCCCACACCGACCAAAAACTCCCCCGGTCCCTTCGTCCACGAGACAACTCGCGAGTGGCGACGACGGACCCCACCTGGCATCCCGGCGACGCGGCCATCTGGTTGCGGCCGCGGCTCGCCATCCGGCCTGCCGGCGGTACCCGGCGGTGCCAGTGTGGTGTTGTTTAATGAGCGCATATGAGCAAACATTTGACTGCCAGGTGGCGTCGTTGCAGCCACGCCACGCAGACCAGGCTGGGGTTCTGCCATTGCTGTTCAAACCCGGGGGCATCAAAAGGGGGCCTTGGATTTCTAAAGTAACTAAGCCGTAATCCACCCCCTTATTGGTCCCATTCATATTGAAATACATGATCAGAGGAACTGCGGAGGCCTTAATCTTGCCAATGAGCGGTCCGGCACAGCTGCAGGGATAAAGTCAGAGTATGAGACTGCCAGTATATTAGAAAAACTCAGGCCTCACTGATTGGATTAGCGGAGATGAGGGAGGGGAAAGGGGTGGGAGGGGGTGGGGGGGGGTACTCTCAGGGGTGAGGAAATGTCATCTTCTAGTGTTATGTGCAGCGTGGTGGTCTCTGTGGTGGCTGCTGAGGATCAGAAGGTGGGACAGACACACTTTTGAAGGTTCCGCGACCCACAAAAGAGAAATCGGAGGAGGCGAGAGGAAGAATAGCAGTGACAAAACTGAATGGAAAAGGGAGTGGGCTGAGTGGGCCGAACATCCCCGCTCACGTCGCAGGAGCTCGTCYAGCATTAGGATGGCAGTTTTGAGGCAGAAAAGGAGGAAAGGGAAAGACAGAGAGAGCTAAMACCGGGCATTAGCTGTCGACTTAAAGGTTTGTTCGGGTTCCTCTGGTAGGAAGAGCCGCCCCGTTTAAGTGTGATTGAGCGTGGCTTAGATGGGGATCACTGGTTATCCTCTCGACTGTTTTGTTTTGAGGTTTCTTCTCTGTATTTACTGTGAAGAATAAGAGAAGCCATTTTGTTGAACAAAGCAGGAGCCAAATATTTCCTTAGTTGTACATCTGGCTCTAGAAGAATGAKTTATTCATTTAAACACACAATCACAGACTTTTTTCTAATATTAAGTTGATACAAAAACAGACAGGCAGTCAACTCTCTCTGGATCCTCAAGTAATCAATCATTCAAAGGTTATAAGCTGGGAGAGGAGTCGGTGTTTGAAAACAAACATTGCAAAAGGACATGTATGTATTATTTTACATCAACCCGGCAGATRCAATAATGTTACAAACAGTTGCATTTAAATAAAAATTATACAGAAAAATCATCATTTCAAAACAATTTATGATTTTGATCGACAATTGTTCTTCTTCTGCCCCTTTGAACGCAAATTTGGAGGCTTTGCCACAMTCRAAAACTCACCAAACTTCAYCCAAAATTGTCCCCCGGCAAAAATAGCAAGAWTCTATTGGAATTTKTAATGGGCGTGGCCAAATGACTCGACAGCGCCACCTAACACGAGATAGAGGAACTGGTAAGCCCTAGAGAGCYGAAATTTGGGGCATTGGTMAYGCTWGTGGTTCARCACATTAAAAATGTTATCTAWAAAAACATAATTCAGTGAATTCACAAACCGTAAATACATTTTCTCGTATGTTTTTTTTATATTTTAGCCAAATTTTGTTCATGCCACTACTAATATCTGCTATTTTTTCTAAGCTTTGAAAATGATTCTATCAAGATCTGAAAGCAAATATGTAAAAAAACCTGATAAAACAAAAGGATCACTTCATTGCAAAGTTTAAATAAAAAAGTGGGATGTGGCAAATGTTTTACACGTCTTAAAAAGAATATATACACATGTTTGACATGTACGACTCCACGATTGTTCACATATAAATACGTTTGTGTGTTCAAACAAACAGGTGGAGCATCTCAGCCAAGTCATTTTTGRGTTTGTAGACAGCAGACTTTCGCTGCATCCCTCTGCAAATTCAAGCAKACACATGGAATCAGTTTACCTCATCTCTTTCGAACTGTGAGGATGATAAGTACAATTCTTCATACAATGCAGAAGAT